ATCAAACAACAAGGCAAGCCGGTACCTTCGGCTCCACGCGGTACTCGTGTCCAGGTTCCACTATTGGATCATCAGCTTCGCCCTCGACCCGGCTTGACTTCATATGGAGGGGGGGGTGTTACATGCTGAACCTGCACACGGGTCCCATTTTGGGGGCCCGACGGTTGTTGGGCCCCCCAGGCCGCACACACTCCAGGAGCGCTCCACCGAGGCACACGGCTACGGGCCTCATGTTTCGATTTGAGACAACATTCATTTATTTATTTGCTATCCTATTTTTGTCTGTTCAAGCGTCGTTTCAGACTTGCAGTACGTTCGAACAGATCCTGTGTCTGTTCGGACAACGGCCACACTTTGGGCCTGGTACTGACGCAAGCAGGCCCTTTGGGGCCAGGTCCGCGTTTGATCGATAGCGGACACTCCCTGCTGCATAAGGAGGGAGGGCGTGGACGTCCGGTAGGGACCCAGGCAGGCCATGTTTGAGGCCAGGACGAGAGGCACACGCAGGCACACCAGTGAAGCCCAACCCTACAAGTAGCTGGTCCAGACCAGGGCAGACACATAGTTCGATTAGCTCACTTCTTGGGTGACACGTTGTTGGAGCAGTGCAACACAGTGCTGCATTAGAGGTAGAGGTGTAGGAAGAGTGAGGGAGGCGGAGGCCATACCTGCAGCAGAGGTACTTACCTGGCGCCATAGCCACGCTCCACGCCGAGGACCTGCACAGGGACCATGACTGCAGTTAGTACATGGCGGCAATTACCTGCAGGTGAGACAGCAAGGATGACAACATCTTCTTCTTCTTCTTCTTCTTCTTCTTCTTCTCGCCCTCCATCTCTTCTCCCTCCTTTGTCCTCCTCCTCCTCCTCCTCCTCCTCCTCCTTCTCCTCCTCCTCCTCCTCCTCCTTCTTCTTYTKTTTYTTYTTYTTTCAGAGAGACAGAGAGAGGTTACAGGTAGAGGTCACATCGGGCGTGAGGCCCAGGATCTAATTCGACATTTTTGTGGCAGACATTGATTGGACTTTCGGCAGGGAGACTATTTTTGGACTTCGCTATCGCGATCTTGGTCTTCTCCCTCACCTCCATCTTCGTCTCGCCTCTCCCCCATCTCTTCATCCGTGGTATCTCCCCCATGTGCGCGTGCAAGGAGGGACCTGTCTTCCATGGATGTGGTCCCTCCTCCCTCTCTCACGTGTGGTGTATGATGGGATGTCACGTCAGTCCCTAATAGGTCAGATCATATCTTTGAGTCTTCCACTGGCGATGCATTGTGCTATTTCATATGTATCTGGATGTACATTGGTTGCGATGCTTTACTAATGCTGCATTGTCCATTCGACTCCTTTTCATCACTTTGCGGATCCTTGGCTCCATCCACATTGCTTAACTGAGCATGTATCATTGTTGATCCGCTGTAGAGGTCCTTCGGAAAAGAGACTGGACACAATTAGGACATGCACACCCACACACACACGTGTGTACACACAGTTTTGGGGTATGATGTGGCCCCAACTTTTTTCCTTTTGTAGTTTGACTTTTAGAAGAAAGGGGCACGTTTGGCCACCCCATCCTGTCCTTGCAGATTTTATTTTATTTTATTTTTTCAAAGTGATGCACTGCATCACGTACGCGTGCATGCGTGCACGTGCACTATGCACCACACATGTGTAACTCGCACGCACGTGATGTGCCACAAGTATTGAAGAATGCCTTACCCTTAGGGTTCTCGACACCTTACAAGAGGGGGGTAGTACATACGTTGGCCATCACAAACCTCCCCCTTCTAACATGCTTCCTCTGCTAGCCCAGAAACACACCTAAAAGAAGGGGTGCAAAGGTCAACATACCTAATAGCTGCCTTAGTCCGCTAGCCCAGACGGGCTCACCGAAGTATCCAAAAGTATTTGCACAGGGCGCCCTTCACGGTGCACATAGACAACTCAGTTGTCCAGGTTTTCCTAATGAAGCCCAAGCTTTCCCCTCGACACGCACACTGGTGGCGTGATTTATTCGAGTTCAGTTTCACCACTCAGCCTATCAAGGGTGAAACAAACTGCGTCGTCGATGCTTTGTTCCGCCGTCTTAACTACAATCAGGAACCCATCCACCTTGCTGCCATCTTGGTCACCACCATTGATCAGTCGGTGATCGATGCATATTGCACTCAGTACCGCCACTGTCCAGATTATCGCGACATCCACGCAACACTGCGGAGTGGCAAGATCGTTCCTTCATACTCCCTCCGTGAGAACGGTCCAGTGTACTGACATGATAGATCTGGTCAGCACAAACCACGTATATGTGTTCCCTCCACTAGACAGCTCCACGTTCAAGTCGTAGCAGATTTCCATGACCAGACAGTTGCTTGTCATATGGGCTTCCACAAGATGTTGGCCCGTGTTTGCCGCCTATATGTCTGGCCGAAGTCCAAGGACTTCATCAAAGCCTATGTCTAGGACTGTCCTACCTGCCAGCAGGTGAAGAGTGTGAACCACCTTCTATATGGGTTACTTCAGCCTCTGCCCATTCCTGAGGGTCGTTGGCAATCCATCACGATGGATTTTGTTGGTCCCCTCCGCCCTCCCACTGAGCGTGGTCATGATGCTATCCTGGTCATCGTCTCGATCGCTTCACGAAGCGTGCACGTTTTGACCCATGCCACTATCGCATTAGCGCTCGTGAGGTCGCTGATATCGCCTTTGACCGAGTCCTGAGAGATCACGGCTTAACTGAAAGCATCATCTCCGACCGTGACCCGCGCTTTACCAACACATTTTGGCGACGCTTGCACCAGGGTGTATGGATCCCAACTCCGCTTCTCGTCGTCTTACCACCCTCGGAATACACTTAGCTCACGCGAAGATTGCGTACAACCACACTATTTCGCCAACCACGGGGATGTCACCATTCTATTGCGACCTCAACTACCACCCTCTTGTACCTGCGGATTTTCTACGACCGTTGCGGTTGCGCCCAGACACTCGTTGTCCTGCACTTAACGCTTGGATCGCCCACATGGCGGCGATTATAAGGCGCACGCATGAGAGCCTAGCCGACTCTCAAACTCGCATGGTCGCACGAGCAAACCGATCACGAATGGATCATCCATTCAAAGTCAGTGATGATGTGCTCGTCGACGCACGCCACTTGCAGCTCGAAGCGGATACACTTCCCAAGTTCAGGTGTTGGTTCTTCGGTCCATGCCGCATCCTTCAGGCCGTCGGTTCTCATACTGTCGCTACTCCGGTCAACTTTCGTGTGAAGCTACACTATTTCCTTCGACAGGCTTCCATACACGATGTATACCATGTCTCCTTGTTGTGTCCTTATCGCAAACCGTTTGAACGCTTCGCCGGACACCTTTATGAGCGCCCACCTATCATGGTGGACAGTCACGAGGAGTTCGTCGTTTCGGACATCATATCTCGTCGAGTTACCGACGGTACCCCTCCACGCATCGAGTACCTTGTGCGTTGGAAGGGCTATCTCGATGAGGAGGCAACTTAGGAGCCCCTCGAGCACTTGGAGCATGCCCGAATGTTGGTATGTGCATATGATCGTGTTCGTCATGTTGAGACATCTGCTCCTACTCAGTAGACTGACCCTCTTCCTACTCCAACTGAGGAAATTGCTGAGGGCAGTTCCTGTGAGAACTTCTTCAGCGGTAAACGGGCGTCTTCTTGCATCCACAACGCACTCGTTGACGCCCTCGACGTCTCGACAACTGACACTCTCATCACTTACCTATCTCCTACCACCGACTCACACTATCATGTACTCCATCATCAACTTCTTCATGATGTCAACGTTTTGCAACTCTGCTTCGACATCGACTCGACTCCTACTTCATCGACCACCTCGACGACTTCAGCCACCTTCTCGACTTCAGGTACTTTATCAACTTTAGCTACTTTGGACGTGATTACTCCACGCAACCACCCTACCCTGTGCATTCCTTTGTATGTGTCGCATGATGGTTCTCACTTAGCTGGTTCTCCCTGAGTTGGGCTCTCCCTTGGTATCGCATAGGCATTGGGAACGTAACGTTATCTTGGCTTCCCTGCTCCCAGATTTGGCTTCCTCCCTAGTCGGTGAGTTGTGTGGATGTTTCCCTCACCCACTACCCTCATCACCCTAGTGTCGGTCATTGCATGCCTTCAGTTAGGCATATCTCCACCCTATCCCAGGTTCCCCTCTCATGGTCAACCCTGCATGGTGTGACCCTTTTGTCGAGCATTTCCCACCTTGATGGTCTATCTCTTAGGGTCATTGGTTTTGTTTCACTATCATTGCCTCACCCTGAGCCTGATGACCTATCCCATCTTCGTGTGTGACTGCCCTTAGGAGTTTTTATTCTTAGGCTGCATTCACCCCCTCTGAGACCATCCCACTCTTAGTGGTGCGGCGACACGACATTATCTTGTGACATATTGCTACCTTTTCCTTTCAGTACTAAGGCAGTTGCCTCTCGGACTTCAAAATTGTGCCCTGCTACATTTCATTTCCTGCTGTTAGCTAGGATGTGTATATCAAACATTTGCTTTTGCTATGTCATTATGTAGCTTAGGCTGCATCGCATGGACTCCTCATAGAGCTTGCTCCGCATCCTAGATTTCTCAACTTTACTGTTGCAGAATCCGCTGCTTTTCTGGAAGCGTGTTTATGGCTCTCGTGATCCACTAAAGGTCTAAGGATCATGCAGCGTGCCTCTAGATGCCTTGGCCTAGAGTCAGGGCTATCTGGCTATTTTGCCTGTCCAGACTGTGGGACCAGGTCGTGGCCTGACCCCACAGGCCGTGTGCTCATTCAGTCCAGTCCACTCCTGCCCGGTACCACTGTCGGTACCAGGCCAGTCCAGTCCAGTCAGTCCGCTGGAGGTATACCCCAGCTGCAGTCTGTTTTCAGTCACATTCTTCATTTGCACAGTTTGGAGTACGTGTGTGTTGAGTCTGTGTTGGAGCTGCGCTGTCCCTTCCAGCTCCATCTCCATCTCCCCCATCCTCATCTCTTTGTCTTGATTCTGACGGACCGCCTTTCAGGTTCCGTCACACAGCCTCCCGAACGTAGAAAGTCACGGCGCGTTAACGGCCGCAACATTTTTTTCTGGTTGGGCAAGGTACTGGTGGTTTAACCACCCTAGACGACCCATACAATTATTTTTTTTCTTTTGGCCGCTCATACCTGCATTATTTTTCTTTTCCTTGCCCCTACCTGCCCCTACGCAGCCCCACCTGCCTGTGATCTCCATCTTGGCAATTGTGCCTGCCCTCACAACGACCCATATTTTTTTTGCCTGCCCATACCCAATTCACCCGTCCAGAAGGGTACCTGTCCCTGCCCACAACCCGCTGGTTACAGTTGGGTACGGTCAGGTGGGCAACGGTTACCCGTTTGCACTCTTTGGTGTCATCTCCTTCAATGTGACAAGCTCATTTGAATGAGGAGATTGCAATGTGGAGAGGGCTTCAAATCTGTCTTCCACATCAGCGGTCTGCTCTGCCGCAATCCGCTTGGAGTCTGCTATGCCTTCCTTCTTCATTTCCTCTTCCTCCTCCTTTCTCATCCTCCCCTCTAATTGCACTCTTTTTGCTTCCAATGCAAGCTCATCCTTTGCACTTGTTGCCATAGCTGGTTTCTCCTTTGCAACCCTGTTCTTCTTTTCAGGGGTGGACAACCGCTGATATCTGCCAGCCCTCTGTCTCCCCTTGAGCATGTGAAGATGAATGCCCTCTGCCTTTCTTCCAACTACCTTTCTTCAATTCAACTCCCCTGTTCTCTACTCATTCTCTGCATTTATTTTCTTTGTGATAAATCGTGCTAGACAAGGTACATGCCCACTTGTGGAAGGTGATTGCTGACAGGGCACCGACTGATGGGTCAAAGATGCTGATGTGGCAGCTTGGTGTACCCAACACCTAGCAGATGTCCAGATCGTTGCCTGCTCCAATACCAGTGTCGAGAATTTGCCCAACTTCAACTTCTTGTCATGCACAGCACCTCAAACCAACTTAACTGAGGACGAAACCTGAAAGGACAATTGGTAGAAAGATTTACACCAGCTTTTATTAAATAATCATACCAGCATACTTGACAAAAAATGAAAAAGGTGATGTCCACGTAGGCACCAGCCTACACTGAGCAGCTTACACAGCTGAACACAGTGGCTATGGATACACCCAGACTATCTCCAACGGCTGCCGAGATTGGCGGTGCTCCTAGTCCCTCGACCAAAAATCGCGAACTCAAACTGAATGAATTCTATTCCTAGCTCGTCACTTTTTATTGTGCTAACTTCGCCTGGAATTGAGAGTTGTAGATGACTCGGTCCTACAGAGTCCTATGCGTCCACGAGCAGCTAACAGTTGTTTACTTGGAGGGCCCAGGTCCAGATCTGACTGGCAGGAAACCTGAAAAACAAAAAAGAAAAACTTGTTCTCGCTTCGCACTTGGGTCTGGTCTCGGGTTCAAATCCACCTGCGCCCAGCAGCCCATCTCCTTCAGCATGACGATTCCTTTTGCCCCTGCCATACATACTGCCCGATCAAGCCAAGACCCATGGAGCTCTCTTTGAAGGGCGTAGCCCCGAACATTGTTGTATTCATCAGATCCATCAAGATGGAAACCGGTGATCTATTAACTAACAGTCACATGTGTATCATTCAGTCCCATGGGCATGGTTCCAGACCCATGGAACTGGTTCTTGCCAAGAACCAGATCTGGAAACTGACACAACTTTTCACATACCTAAAATTGTCTGCATTCAGAGCAACTTAAGAAAAATTTGCACCTACTCAACTGGATAGTAACAGGGGATTGGATCACATAATTTTTGTGACAAGTTTGGAGATTGGGACAAGAGGCTGAAATTAAGGTACCAAGGTCGATGTCATGCCTGCACATGCCCCAGCAACTAGCCTCCCTGGAACACAAAGCTCCTTACTCCGGCCTTTGAAGAGTCTCTGCAACAAACAGCAACCGGGGTAATACAGAACTGAGTCTCTGTCTGTCTGTCTGTCTGTCTGTCTGTCTGTCTGTCTCTCTCTCTCTCTCTCTCTCTCTCTCTCTCTCTCTCTCTCTCTCTCTCTCTCTCTCTCTCTCTCTCTCTCTCTCTCTCTCTCTCTCTCTCTCCCGTGTGGCCCGGCTGCAAAGATATCATGATTTGAACAGTCTTACCATGTGCAATGACCCGCATGGAATCCGTCTGAGATTTATGCTGTTTTCTGAGTATTGCTGCTTGATGCAGATTTCCGTGTTCTGTGTGAGAGTGCTGCTTGCTTGCATGTGTCTAATTCCCTACGTGATGTTTGCCATGCCGAGTACTAAGTGTGTGTTTCTCCTGTGTTTTCTGTGTCCTGGGAAGGGGTACTCTACAAGAAGGAAAACCGCAGGTACAGGACTGAAATTGGTTATAGAGGGAAAAGTAGAATTTAGCTAGTGTCTTGTCCTTCAGGACATCCGTTAAAATTGGAACAATACAGAGAAGATTGGCATGGCCCCTGCGCAAGGATGACACACATAAATCAAGAACTGTGCAAGGAAGATGAGTGATAGCGAACTTAAGCAATCAAACAGCATCATACACATAAGACCAGATAGTCGTGACCTCGAACCAACAGAAGAATTGCATCACGAGTTTCACCAAATAAGAAAACACCAAGAGCTCATAATTGACAATGATGGTAAAGTCTCATCATCATTATCAATGAAGAACCAATGTTGATATCCTGTCTGGCGCTCGGCGCCCAGACTACAGATGGCAGATCCTATCTAGCCTAGACTACAATGCCGAAGATGACGACAACAGCTCTCCCGAAGTACGAGCAGATAGCGGCCAATGCCGCGTGCTTCCAGCACCAGGTATGTCTCTCGCTTCACTCACACCTCGTTCCCCAACACACAGATGCCACATGCACCCAAGGACCACCCTGCGCCACACCCAGCTTACAGCAGCGCAGCTCGGCTATGGCTGCCCGCTCCTCCCTGCTCGCCCGTGAGTGCGTGCGCGCTAGCCAGCTTCAGCGCAGCAGCGCTTGCGCAGCATGCAGCCAGCACCCGAATGTCCAATGCGGAGGCAGGCCCTTTGCTATATGGAAGTGGCCTGCCTGCGTTCTGTCCCAGGCTGCGCTGGGCCTTTCCCAAGAAGCTTCTGGTAGGCCCCGGTAGACTGAGGCCCAAACCAAACGAATTGGCCCAGGGCTGCCGACAGTTACCTGTGCCCAACTGCCCGCAACCTGAGTTGGGCCTATGTTGCGAATCTCGCCCAGGGCCTGACTCAGGTGCATTTGATAAAGTAAGCCAGGGCCTGGGCGCTTCCAACCAACTGGCGCAGCGCAACTGCCTGAATTTCCCCAGTTGCGAAGTAGTCCAAAATAGGATCTGCCGGGCCTGCCTTCACTTAGGGCGGCCGACGCTGTTGCAAATAGGGCCCAGTGAGGCTTATCGAGGCCTTGTGCCTCGCATTCCCTCCTCCATACTTCGCTCGTCCTCTGAGAAGTTCAGTCTTCGATAATCTGGTGCTTTCCCTTCCGTAAAGACTTCTCATAGTGGGCGACTACCTGTGGAGTGGTCTACATCAGTTCCTCCCTTGTGAACCATCTGTCCTCCTTTGGATCAGTGTGATGTCTGAACCGAACTCGATACTGCAGCTGCGGTTTCGGAGGACGTCCTCTGCCTGTTAGTCTTGGAACTGGCATCTCCCGGTGGTCAACAATATCATCGATATCGACCTCTCCATCCATGGTTGGGGGCAGCATTGAGCGACGAGATGGAAACTGATCTGTTTCTTTAAAAGGTGCAAGCTTCGAGGCGTGGAAAACAGGGTAAGTGCGTAAGTGACCAGGGATGCGAACAACATAGGACGGCCCATCTGGTTCATTCCCAACAACATCCAGAACCTCCCATGGTCCAAAGTACTGTGGCATGAGCTTGCGGGAGATCCCGTGCTCCTGTCCCAGTTCTGAGGACTTGACCCAGACTCGCTCTCTCCTACCTGAAACGTGGATGGGCGGCGGTGTTTGTTCTCCGACTCTATCATCGACGCCTGTGTCTTGTGCATCTGCTCAACAGCCTGCTGCATCAGCTGCTCATATCGATAAGCAAACTCTAAAGTCCCTCGTGCAGCAGGGGGCTGGTCCTCAGGTAGTAAGAAATCCAAGGGCAGTCTAGGCTTAAAGGTTAATAGCAGACTATTCGGGCTCACGCCCATTGCGCTGTGGACCGCGTTGTTGTACAGGCTGGCAATGAGAGCAAATTTCTCATCCCAGTCTACCTGATTTGGCTTGATGTAATGCCTCAGCAGGTGTTGTACAGCGCGGTTCAACTGTTCTGCTTGTCCATTCGCCTCGGGGTGTTTTCCTAATGTCATCTGCAGTTGCGTTCCCTGTTCTGCAGCTGCGGCTTTCCACAGTTCACTTGTGAATCGCACATCACGGTCACTGACTATAGACTTGGGCAATCCAAAATCTCTAACCCAGTTCTCTTTGAACAGTTTAATCACATGCTCCGTCTTCGGTGTCTCCGACATTGCAACTAACCTAGCGTACTTACTAAACCTATCCACGATAACAAAGATGTGTCTCATTCCGCTCTTGCTGGTTGAGGTCCATGGATAGGCTCTCACCAGGCCTTTCCGGAATCAGAAGGGGCTTAAGGAGCCCAAGAGGGGCCTGTGTACGGGGCTTGTCTCTCTGACAGACCTGACAAGTCTCCACGTACAGCTTAACATCTCTCATCATCGTGGGCCACCAGAACCGTTGCAGCAGATTGGTTGTTGTCTTCTTATACCCAAAATGGCCGGTGGCATCATGACACTCACCTAAAAAAAACTACGCAAAGACTCTCTATGTGAGACACACAAACGTTTATTCCCTTCCTTCTCAAGGAACAGCAAGCCGTTGACCAACTCAAACTCGACAGAAGTCTTCTTATCCTTCGCCTCAAGTCTGCGTATGATCTCAGACATGAACTGGTCCTCGCGATAGGCTTCCACCAGAGAGCGAGTAACATCGTCCGTAAGATCGAACTCAGTAATCAGCGCACCCGAGAAATCAGGTCTACGTGACAAGGCATCAACAACCTTGTTGTACTCCCCTTTCAAGTACTGCGGGTTAAAGTCATATTGCTCAATGACTTCGATCTAACGCTTCAGAGCGTCAGAGAGCACTGGCTGAGTTCTCATCCATCTCAGTGTCTTATGATCAGTCCTGAGGATGAAGAACCTCCCAAGGAGATAGCGCCTCCAATGGGTCAGAGCCCTGTCAACCGCATAGAGTTCCTTCTCATAGGTGGACCTGGCTAAGACGGCATTTGCTTGGACATGTACTCAAACGACCTTAACTTTTTCCCCTCCTGTTGTGCAAGTACGGCGCCTATGCCATATTGGCTAGCATCCGTAGTTACTAACAATGGCTTGTCCGGATTAGGGAGTTTCAAGACCTCATAATGCATCAACGCATGCTTCAGATGTCTGAAAGCAGCCTCGCATTTGTCTGTCCACTCCCATGGGGTGTCAAGGCGAGTCAGGTCAGTCAAAGGGGCGGCAACTATGCTATAGTTCTTCACGAAGTTGCGATAGTAGCCGGTCATCCCTAAGAAAGACCTCATCTCAGTCACGGATTGAGGACACGGCCAGTCACGAATGCTGGCCACCTTCGCGTCATCGGGCTTTAATCCCTCCGCGGAAATCTCATGACCCAAGTACAAGACACGGGTGCAGCCAAACTCACACTTCTCACCGTTGATCTTGAACTTGTGCTGTAGCAGAAGACTAAGGACTTTGTCCATGTGTGCAACATGCTCCTCGACAGTCTTACTAAAAATAAGTATGTCATCGAGGTACACGATGACAAACTTATCCAAGTAGTCATGAAATATCCGATTCATAGCGTGCTGAAAGGTGCTAGGAGCATTGCAAAGGACGAAAGGCATCACCACAAACTCGTACAGACCGTACCTGGTCTGAAAAGCGGTTTTGTGTTCATCCTTGGGCCGGATTGCAATCTGATGGTACCCGGACTTCAGATTTATCTTACTGAAGTACCGACACCCTTGCACTCTATCTAGCAAGTCATCGATGCGCGGTAAGGGCTCTCTGTTCTTGACAGTGATGGCATTGAGGCCCCTATAGTCAATGCACATCCTAAGTGTCCATTCCGTCTTCTTGGGTACAAGTACGACTGGAGACCCATAAGGAGAAACATTCGGCCAGATCCAACCCTTTTCTACGAGTTCCTTGAGTTGTCGACGAAGCTCGTCAAGCTCGCCTGGAGACATCAGATAGATCCTACCCTTTGGGATGCTAGACCCTGGGATAATCTCTATCGCGTGGACGACCTCCCTCTCAACAACCTCCGTCGGCTCTTCAAATAGATCAGGGTACTTAGCGACTACTCCCTCTATCTCCGACGGCATTTTCACCGGCTCGCCTGCAGCAGAGACATAAACTAGATACATACCCTCCTCCTGATTTTGTTTATAATAATTATAGAACGCGGCCACACACATGCATTCGTGGGACTCAATCAGACTACTAGCTTTGAACTTACATAATCTCGTGGTCCCTCCACCTGGCAAAGTGTGTTTGACCACTTTTCGGTCCCAGTCAAACTGGGGTTGTGCCACATAGAGGTAGTACATACCTAACAACATATCCATGGGGAGTTCTTCGCTCACTAGGAACGAGATGTGATGCCTCAGTTCCCCTCCCGCGTACGAGAAAAAACACTCAACATCTTGGAGGTAGTCAATGACTAACATGCGTTGTTTGTTGGCCCAGGTCGACTCCACAGGTCGACTCAGGCGTTGCACTCGCCCCCGTAAACGCAGCGTCTCAACGCACGCGCGACTGATAAAGTTCCTAGTCAAGCAAGTGTCATAATAGGCCCCAGCCTTGCGGCCGCCAATGAGCACCTCACTGACGAACATCTCACCCTTAGGGGCTTTGACTAGTGTCGTCCAAGAA